CAGCTGCCAGGTCACGCACGAAGGCAGCACCGTGGAGAAGACAGTGGCCCCTGCAGAGTGTGCTTAGGCCCCGGCCCCACCGCCCTCGGGGCCTGGAGCTGCAGGGGCCAGGGGAGGGGCCTCCCCTCCCTCCCAGCTCATCCCCCCCTGCCCTGCACCCGATGAACCCTCAATAAATATCCTCGTTGTCAATCAGAAATCCTGCTCCATCTCATTATTTCTATGTCATGTTTAATTTGCAACCTCATGGAATTCTCAGTGGTGCTGGGAACATCCTGACTCCAGCTCCACGAGGGTCACACCCTCTCTGACCTCCTTCTCCTCAGGAAACACGTAATCGTGCATGGTTCAGTGTCACTCACATGCCTTTAGTGTCTGCTCGTGTCTCTGAGCTGAACGTCACTGCCCAGGGGCAGAGGCAGTTCCCAGGGAGACCCCACTTCCCTACTGACCCACCAACCCCCAGCGACCCAGGCTGGCTCCCTGCACCAGTGAGACCCACGACCCAGGGCAGGAAGTTGTCCTTGTAGAGTGGACTCTAGGATGTCGACCTGGCCCAGCCCGGGTGGGAGAGCGGCTCAGTTAGAGTGACAGAGTGGTGGCCCTTTGAGCGCAATGGGGGATAGTGAAGGGCACCAGGGCCCACCAATGAGCTGGGGCTAGAAACAAGGGGTAGGAGACCCTTGTGCCGTGGTCTCATCAGCAACAGAGGCTGACGATCCCTTCCATACAAGGGACAGCTGGGACAGTGTTTGTCAGGTGAGGCTTCCGTGGCGGAGCTGTCACCATCACGTCCCAGACAGGTCTGCAGAAAGACACTGGCAGGTGCATTTCGCAGACTGTCACGGGCAGCGGAGGACTGGCAAGTCCCGCAGCTGGGAGACAGCTTTACAGAGCCTGACCAGCCCGGCACGCCACGCTGTGGCTCTCCCGGCCAACGCAGCCAGCCCTCTGTGTTCTGCCCGACATCAGCGTTCATGGCTCCAGTGTTGGGACGTGGGGTGAAGCTGAGGCAAAGCGGTGGTCAGCTGTGATCCGATGGGCACGGGGTCAGGGTGAGGTTCAAGGTTAACACTCACATGGGGCTCAGATCGCAACCAGGAAGAGTCTCCAATTCTAAAGTTTGGGGCAGAGTTTTATGCATGGCTGCTTTCGGATGGAGCCTGGCGACACTCAGCCTGTGTGAGGGCAGGACTCAGGCAAACTGGGTTCAAGGCAAAGGACCCTGACCCAGGACCAGAATGGAATGTTACGGTTGTCCCAGGGAGGCTGTGTCGGAGTCCCGTTCAGAGGCCCGGTGCGGTCGGCAGGTGTCTCCCGAATCACTTTGTGATTTCCTGGCACCGCAGGGTCTGCAGGGGCTGAATGGCTGGTCCCGGGACCTCGCCGTGCTGGGGACGGGCCTGGGCCTCCCCGACATGCAACTGAGCCTCCTCTGGGGCTCTGCTCTTCCTGCAAAGTGGTTCTCGCACAGAAAGGACTGACAGGGCTCAGTGTGACTTTGTGGCAGAACTGCGTCCCAGGACAGTTGGCTTGTCTACGAAAGGCGAGAATGTCCTGTTGGCATTCTTTTAGTGCCATCAGCTGAGTCGGATGGTCATTAACTTTGACCCTCGGATGGGCAGGAGCACAGAGGGTCGATGTCTCAGTTCACGCCCTCTCGTGAGGGCTGCGTTGGGATGGAGTGCCCGGCAGCTGCGATTTACTCACTTGGGCTGTGTTCCGTGGTCTAGAATCAAAGAAGAAATGCAGATTCCTCCCTCTTACTCGCCACGTTGCAAATGGACGTTCTGGTGTCGGCCACCGTCCAGGGAGAACGGCCGGCTTCAGCGCTGCGCTCGCGCGTGGGCATATCTGACACGGGGGACCCACTGCTGCTGCAGTTCAGTGGTGATGACCATGTGGCTGCCAGACATGGACATTTGCCCCTGGGAGCCTCTTCACGTGGCTCCTGGGATCCTGGACGTGACCCAGGGCCTCCCTCACTAGCTCCCGATTTCTCAGATGACAAGAGGTTCCACCTCCTCATGTCCCCTTCCTGCCCTAGGCCTGGGAGCAACCCCATTCTGCTTTGCTCTAGGGGGGGGGGCTGGGAGACCATAGTCAGGACCCTCACTCATGTGTCACATTGCAATGAGGCAATGGCCATCCCCACACACCTGACCCACCCGACATGAGGCCAGATTGAGGGGACACAGAGGATGCTCCCAGGTCAGCCTGGAGGATGAGGCTGGCATTTCCCACAGGGACCAGCCAGGCCTCCCTGGCCAGGCCCATGACAACCAGGACAACCCAGGGAAGGTGGGGCTGACACCCCTGCAGTCAGGGCTGGGGTCATAGGAAGGTTCAGGAACACCACACTCCAGGGAAACATGCCTTTCCCAGGGGGCAGGAGGACACCATGTGTCACCCAGTGGTCTGACCATGGGAACAGGGATGGGTCAAGTCTGCTGAGGATAGGCCACCTGTCCCCATCCACAAAAATTCACTCCTTAGGGACACAAATGCCCTCCAGTGAAGTTATTTCTGTTCCTGGAAAATGGTTCGTGGGAAAGCCCAATCCAAGACACCAACTTCCTTAGGGAGCGTGGGTTTCCAGTGATCCTCCTGCTGGTCAGGGGATGTCACCTGTCCTGGTATACAGATACCAGGGCTGTGTGGTCCCCTGCTGAGCAGATGCCACCTGGGGCAGTGACCCAGCTTCTTTCCTCACGGCTGCCGCAGGCGGTGGAGGGAGGGGGTCTCAGGAAGGGTTTGTACGAGCCTGTGTCACAGTGTCCTGTGTTCGGCAGTGAGACCAAGGTGATCGTCCTACGTGAGTGTCTTCTTTCCCCTCCTTCCCTGCTCCCCACAGCTGGGGCACTTTTGTGCTATTTTTGCTGTTTTCTCTGTATCTTGTCTCAACCTGGGGTCAAGCTTTCTCCCTGGACCCAGTTCTGGGGTGAGGACAGCCCCCCTCCCTGCTCAGACCCTTGCACGCCTCACCCCTTACCCTCTGATCCCAGAGCTAGGGTGCTGGATGGGATGACCTGGTCACACTGGACTGTCTATCCCTTTGTCTGGCGAGGCAGGTTGTGTCACTAGAACTTGCTCTATTCTTTCCTCCCCAGTCCAGGCCCCTGTCAGACCAGCTTTGTCTGTGGGGTCACTTGGGGCCCCTTCTCCAGGGGACGAGGGAACAGGGTACATGCAGGGATTCACCACCTGGGAGATGATAGAAGGACCCAGATCCCTCAGGGCTGAGGCCAGGTCCCCTGGGCTGTGGGACTTAGCGTCCGGGCGGGGAGAATGGTAGGAGGTGGGGCTCCCTGGGCCTCAGGGCTGCGTGGCAGAGCTCTCAGCCTGCCTGCCACTCAGGAAGCCCAGTCAGGAGGCAGGAGGGAGGAGAAGGGTCTGGAAACAATGCCACCAGGCAGAGGGTCATTGAATACCAGGCTGTTCCCTGAGGTGGGCCCCTGCGTCTCTGCCAGGTGCACTCCTAGGGGTGCAACCCCTGAGTTTACAGATGGGCACGTCCCAGTGCGTGATGCTACAGACGAGCCCTGTGGACTGCAGGACTCTGGCAGGGCTGCACAGACTGACAGAGCCCAGGATGGGCAGCCTCGCTCTGCCCCCGCCCCACTGCGTCCAGGAGAGACAGACTTGGGGAAAAACACACCTCTTAGGTTAAAGACCCAGAGCCCCCTGGAGCAGAAGTGTCAGGCCAGAACAGGTCCCAGAGTAAATCTGACAGGTCACCCAGAGAGCTCAGGAAACAGACAGACAACCCCAAACAGACCCCATGAGCATGGCAGGAGGAGGCAGGGCAGTGGCCGAGGGGCAGCTGCCTGTGTGGGGACCCAAGGCCAAGCAGGGACTCAGGAGAAGTCACAGGCAGGTCCACGCTCCGGGGTTCCAGGAAGGACAAACAGTCGTTTTAGGAAGACTCTGACTCACCCTCCCCGGAGACAGCGTGCATCGTGTGTCCAGGGTCCTGCACCGGCTCTGTGGGGCCAGACCCCTCGTCACACCCTGAGGTCAGGAGCTGCCACAGTGGACTCTCAGCCTCTGGCATCCTGTCCCTCCCCACCGCACAGGTCAGCCCAAGGCCGCCCCCTCGGTCACTCTGTTCCCGCCCTCCTCTGAGGAGCTCCAAGCCAACAAGGCCACACTGGTGTGTCTGATGAGTGACTTCTACCCGGGCGCCGTCAGCGTGGCCTGGAAGGCAGACGGCAGCGCCGTCACCCAGGGCGTGGAGACCACCCAGGCCTCGAAACAGAGCAACGGCAAGTACGCGGCCAGCAGCTACCTGAGCCTGTCCCCCGCCCAGTGGAAAGCTGGCGGCAGGTTCAGCTGCCAGGTCACGCACGAAGGCAGCACCA